GGGGGTGGGGGTCTGGGAGGGAGGGGGTGGAAGCAGTCAGAGTGGGGGTCTGGGCATGAGGGGACTGGGGGTCGCTTACTTGGCTCTGGGTCCCCTGCTGCTCCCATTGGCTGAGATTCTGGCCAATGGGAGCAGCGGGGAAAGCCTCCAGGTGAATGGTTTCCTGCCTTGCCTTTCCCCACAGGGGGAGGGGGAATGAATGAGAGCACACTACGCTGCTTCCTCCCCCCACGAACTGGATCAGGCCTGCGAGACTCGGGGCTCCCTGCCCCCCACAATAGGAAGCCGGGGCTGGCGCTCCAACCTTGCAGTGGGGGAGGCCGATCCCCGAGCTCGCAGCCACCCGCAAAAGGGCCCGGTCCGGTCCGCGGGCGACCCTTGCAGAGCACTGCAGAGACCCTCCTCTTGAACTCTGGAGAGACCCCCCTAGGGTCCCACCATCGCGACTAGCGGGGGAGCTGAGCTGGAGGCAGCCAAGGTGGGTAAGTTGAGGAAAGCCGGCGGGGGAGACACCTCCCTGCTTGCTGAGGTCTCCCCCCGCGGGCAGCACGGGAGAAGCGGGGCTGGCGGAGGGGTGTGGGGGAGGAGCTCCCGCGCCGCTAGGTGAGCGCCAAAGTTGGGGTCTCCCTGCACGCCCTGGGCATAGACCTGCTGGCCCTTGTCCATCCTGGGGACAGAAGTAACGGAGGAGGGGAGACACTTGCCCAGGGTGGGGCAGGTCCCTGATGGAAGAGGCAGGAGCCCTGACCCGGGGCAGTAAGAGCTAGGCTGGGCACAAGGGACCAGATGCCACGCGCCGCTAGGTGAGCGCCAAAGTTGGGGTCTCCCTGCACGCCCTGGGCATAGACCTGCTGGCCCTTGTCCATCCTGGGGACAGAAGTAACGGAGGAGGGGAGACACTTGCCCAGGGTGGGGCAGGTCCCTGATGGAAGAGGCAGGAGCCCTGACCCGGGGCAGTAAGAGCTAGGCTGGGCACAAGGGACCAGATGCCACAGGCCCCCTCGCTCCTTCCACGGCTCCCCCCCTGCCTTAGCAAAGGTCCCCCGCTCGCTGCCCCTGCCCCTGGCTGAGTGCACCGACATGCCCCCCGGGGCGCTGCTGGGAGCCAGGAGGGGCTCCGGGGCCAGCCACAGGGCTACACGCCAGGCAGCGGGGAGGTCGGCACCATGACAGCGGCCCAGGCAAACCGAAAGCCCAGGCGGGTCGGATTCCCCAGCGGGCGGAGCCCTGGCGGCTGCAGGAGGCGGGGGCCCAGGGGCGCTGGGCTGTGCCAGGGGGGCGCGCCTGGTACACACTACGGGCGCAATGAGCCTCGCTCTGCGGATCAGTGGAACCGCACTGACCTACCCCAGCTGGGCCCGTGTGCAAACACGTGACGAACACAGCACGTGGGTTTCCTCACCTGGCCCTTCGCTCCCATGCAGCTGGGGGCATGGCTGCGTTTCCCTTGCCGTTTGGGCCATAGGGCAGCACAGAAGGGACAGGCACCCACCCCCCTGCCACCTGGCCCTCGTGGAGCACCCGGCATCCCCTGAGGGGCTCCCAGCCCAGGAACCAGGAGGAGCCGAAAGGACAAGGCAGGAGTGACACCGTGGTCAGTGTGTCGGGCAGCCCAGGCAGACTTTACCTGTCAGCGTGGGGGGGCTGCTGCCCAGAGATCCCTACTGCGTCCGTCTTCGGCTTTGCCGCGTAGCCTGAGGAACACAAACCGGGCCACGTCACCGCGGCTAGGGCCCAGCTCAGCCCTGCTGCCCAGGTGACCTGCTTCCGTGGCATCTCCTGCACGAGCAGAACTGAGCCAGAGGGAGGCCGCAGGCCCGGGCAGCGAGTTCTGTGACTCAGGTCACAACTCCTGCCTGGAGCAAGGTTCCAGCAACTCCCCCCGGCTGGAAGCAGCGGAGAGGAGGGACACACACAGATGCTGCGGGGGGCGGGCGGTGTTGTATGCCAAGATCGCGCAGGGCCCCAGGAGCTCACAGGTGCCGGCTGGGAGTCACAAGGCATCAGATGGGCAACTTTGAACCCAGCGGGGCCAGTGAGAACAGGGCGGCGCTCGAGCGGGGGCATGGTACCTCGCTAGCACTGTCCCTCTGAATAGCCCCGCCCCGCCCAGCAATGTCCATCAGCAACGCCACGGTCCCTGCCTTCCCGACAGAGAAACTCACACGTGGAGAGGGGGAGGGACTTGCCCAGATCACACCACAAGCCAGCGGCACAGCTGGATCGAAACCCCGACCGCCTGCTCTCCAGCCCAAGCCCCCTGCTTGCTGGCCCTGAGAAAAAGGCAGGCGGCCTCACAGGCTTCAGTTTCCCGCAAGGGATTCTGGCGCCCTTCAATTCCAGGTGCTGCTCGGAGCCCCCCCCTGTGCTCCAGCGACTCGCCCAGGGTCACAATACTCGCCCCGAACATGGCCTGCACGGAGATGCCCGCCAGCCCTACCTGTTTCCAGGTGGCCGTTCTCGTCCAGTGCATAGCGCGTGCCTGGCTCCTGTGCGGAGAACCAGAGAGAATCGTGGGTCAAGGGAACAGGCGCTCAGCCAGCCCGCTCCGCTGGAGCCGCTGCACCCAGGCGGGACTGGGCCAAGTCACATCACAGCAACTGGCTTCTGGGGCCACACGGGGGGAGGGAGACCGCTATGCATACTGGTGTCTGCCCCGAGCCCCAGGAATAAGTCCCGCTCTCTCCAGCAGCCATTTCTGGCTGGAAATGCTCATCCGCAGTGCCAGTCCCAGCGAGAGAGGGTCCCCAGCCTGCTCCCACCCCGCTCGGCTTGGCACGGGGGTAAAACCAGCGCAGCCCCCTTGCAGACTCTGGGGTTCCGTGGGACTGACACAGAGATGAGGCCAATCTGGCTCCCTGGCCCAGGGCCCCGGAAGCTGTTTTGCACGGTGACCTTCTGCAGCCTCACGTGTGCAAAATCTGTCCCCCCTCCCCTGGGCCCGCGTCTGAATCCTCCCTGCTCGGCCACAGCAGACGCTCGGCCGTGTCTTTACCTGCCTGCTGCACCCGGCGGTCTGCGCGCACGTTCGGCGGAGAGCAGCCGCCAGGCCGGCCGGGTAGCGCTCCTCGCACAGGCACTCTGCTCTGTTCACGGACCACGCGCCCATCGATGGCTGCTAGCCAGGCTGGGCAGGGGGTGCCCCCAGGCTCCGTGTGCCAGGGGCTGGGACTGGGTGCGCATGGGAGGGCTCCCTGGTCCGTTCCCTCCCTCTGGGCACCGGGCATTGGCCGCTGTGGGCAGACTACACAGGCCCTAGGGAAAGCTTCTGCCATCCGTGGGTGCTCCACCTCCGCCAGAGGTAGCTATGGCAACAGGAGAAACCCTACGGCCGGGGTGGGGCCCCTCAGGCCCAGGGGCCGGATGCAGCCCCCAGCTTGCCTGGATCCGGCCCTTGAGGCCTGGGGCTCCCCACCCCACCACAGGGGAGCCCATGCTGGTGTGTGGGGGGGGGTTGTTTTTCACTTGTGTGCAGACCCTGACTGATTTTTCTGTGGGTCTGTGGCCCCTGACCCAAAAAGGTTCCTCACCCCTGCCCTAGGGCTTGGGGCTCAGGGCCCCTGGGTGGCTCTTACCACAGCCTGGCTCTGGCTCCCTGCCTGGCCCGGGGGCGGGGCCTCCGGGGGGGGAG